TTAACGGTCCTCATAAATAAAAAAGATCGTCGAGCGGCATGAAATTCGCCGCCGACGGAACAGCGTTTCTCCTCTCGAGAGTATCCTGCCATGCCGTTGCCTCTTCGGCTTGAAAGGCTCGTTTCTCATTCTTCCCGTCCTTTCGAAATACGCGGATCCACTTTACGCTCGATACACCGTAGTGCCACTTACGACAGTACGCTCTCCATACCGCCGCTGTTTCGAAGATACTGCTGTAATGTCGAAGAAGCCGTTTTTCCCACATCGACGTAACTTCTACGTGGCTTACTTTCCAAGTGCTTAAAATGAATGGGATAGATTTGAAAAGAAAAGTCTAAATTTTTTTTTCAGCATAGACCGTAGGATGATATATACACGGAACGTAACATTTTCAACTCTCAAACAGATTTAAAAATGAAAATTTATTTTTAGAATATATTAAATTTATATATTTTATTTGTGTCTCTAAAAAATAGCGTACTTATTTTTTTGCTTTTTAATAAAATGTATTGTGAGTAAACAATACAGTTCAGGAATACACACACACATACACACACATTTTGTATAGATAAATAAATTATTATATTTGCCATAAAGATATAATTAATATTAATCAATAAAATTAATCTCAGCATTATGATGTTATGGTAAATACACATAAATATTGCAATGAATCTCTAACAGTGTTACAAGTACCGTATTGGAAAACCATCGCATAAATCACAACGCCTTCCAGCACATAGCGCACAACGATCCCTTCAATTTTCTTTTATTCGTCAGTAGTTTCAAAGTCAATCTTCGCTATCGCGAAATCGTGGACTTTAAGGACGCCATTGCGCATAAACGAGATAAAGTGAGACGTCTTTCCAGCCGCTGGAAGTAATTTTGTTATGAACTTTCGGGAGGAGCGTATTTTTCTCAGTGTTACCCGAAAACAGTCCACGTCTCTGCGAGTCTCGGATAATAATCAACCTAGAAATGGAAAAATTTAATAAAAAATCTTCAGCTTGCTTTCTTTCTTTCCCTTCTAAAAGACGATGATATCTGAAGCGCAGACTATCACCTTCGGGGGAACTTTTGCAAATCGATTTTGCGCATAGTGTACAAACTTCACCGTGAATTATTTTGTAGGTTGACTTTTGCGTGGGTGACACTAAGCTAGTTATAATAGAAACTCGTTGCATCACATCTGGCAATGTTCCATGTGTACTTTGACGAACATTATGGGCTTCGTGTGTTCATAGCGGTAATATAAGAAAATATGGCGCGCTTAATTGGAAACTTTTACTGTATCATTTACATATGCGCGCGAGACCATAGAAATCGCGGCGCAATTAATTATCTATTTAATCATTTAGTTAATTATATGCGTGCATTAATAAATTGGCTTATTTAATTAATGACGTGTTCTATCTCATTTGTCTCATACAGTAGGATGCTCGCCAACCGCATTGCTGCGTTATATCATCAAATTATATCATACAACTGGCTCGAATTAATAACGCATCCTTAATATACTCATAATTTATTACATAAAATATTGCAAATGCAAAATAACAAAATAAAGATGTACTTTGCGCTAATTTATACACAATAAATGGCTAATTAACTCAATTTATGACATTGCAATGTACATAAATCAATAATTAAATGTTTTCTTTAATTAATATAATTTTTCAAAAATTATAAACTTTAATATACAGAAAAATTTACTAAAAATATATTTTATGTGATTTATGTGAAACTTTGATAAATAGAAACACCGAGTTTTTTTATTCTGTATCAGATTTAGTTTGATTTATGCCAAAAGTCCAGCAGAGTGAATTTATATTTCAAAAACCTCTTAACTCTTTCAGTAGAGAAAGCGTACATGTACACTGTCCAAAAACCGCTTGCCTACCGCAGGATATACAAGCACGTCCTGAAAAATATAACATTTGTGTGTTGCGGCTGCAAAATTTACTTATTATATATACACGTGGTTTTAAATTACGCAGTCTTTTACACACAGACTTATCAATAATTTTAAAGAAGGTAGCGTGCATAAAATTTAGTGTCAATTTTTAAATAATATTGGGTATACAAATCTCATAAATTCTGTTTTAGATTTTCCAAAAATTTCAAGAAATGCATTAATTTAATAAGCAGCTTACTTCCTTTAACGCAATGAAAACAGAAGCGAACGAATCATTAATGAATCGTAAGAATCACTCAGAAATTTTCAACTTTGCATATTGAAAGCAGCATTTTCCGTTTAAATTTAAACTTCATTCCCAGCGGCAAATTTTGTTGTGAAGAAATCGATAATAGATTGCTCTGTACAAAGAAATACCCGTTGAATTATTAATACGATTCAAAAATCCTCATGCATACGCAAATCTTGCACTTTACGGGCTTGCTGTTGCAATTTCTGCCAATGAAATACGATAATAGAAGCAATATTAGCAAAAAAGAAAAAAAAACACAAATTGCTTCTCGTGGACTTTGTCTATTTAACAGAGAAAATCGAAGTTGGTGATCAAATCGGGTGCACAATTGTATTACTTCCATATTGCTCATGAAGACTCCACTGTCGGTTGTAATTTTGGCGATTCTGTTCCGAAGATTCAATCTTTTTATCCCCAATTGACCCGTTCGTGAAATAAAAAATAACCGAAGAACAAGTAAAAATATATTGGCAATCAATTTTTAGAAGTAATACGCGAGCATTTTATCGATCATCTTATCTCTGAAAAATTACGCGAAATTACGCAATATATAACAACGAGACGATATAAATAATATTACTTATAAATGAATTAGTTTAGCCGTGAGTATGTGCGGCCTGACATCATATCAAATATATTACGCATTGTGGTATGAAAATTATGTTTGGATAATCCAGATGTTAATGATATGTTCCAACAATGGAATCCGATTTATAACTTGCTATAATCGGAGTGCTGTCTCGAAACGTTGAACATTCTGAAAATGTTAATAGATGCGCGCATACGCTTTTATTGAAAATCCGTAAATCGATGCGCATTATGGCATCACACATATTGCAGATGAGAGTGAGATAAAATTCTCTTTAATAATTAATTCGACGCTGGCAATCATTAATTTCAAATTGCTATTAGATTATAATTATCATACAATGAGTATATATGTTGTTGTGAACTATATATCTACATTATGATATACGCAACGTGATTATCTTATCTAAAGATTTAACGATGATTTTCTTTTCATATCTGTTAACCACGCTTATGATACATTTTTAAATATAATATTAAATAAAATTCTTTCTAGATATGTAAAAAAAATATTGGAAAATATCGTAAAATTCTTAACACCGTAAAAATTTTATTGAGGAATTGTGACGCGCGAGATTTACGACACACATTACTTTTGATAATGCTTTTAAGCAGCAACAAAATCTGAATGTACTTTGGATAGGATTTAAGAGATGCATAAGAGAGAGACGCGCGCGCGGAAGTAGCACACGGAAGGTATGTTTTAGCATCAGACATCACGAGCGTAGACATAACTCTTCCGTTAAGATTACAAATCAGAAGCAAGCGGAACATAGTATAGACTAAAACAGATACGCTCGTAAATCTAAGGAAATGGAGAATTCGTGCTGTTTTCAGACGCAACGCGTTCAACGGTTTAGTGTAACCCGATGCAGATAGCGATGGCTTAACGTGTCAAGTATTGATTTTCACTAACAAATAACAAAAGCGAATAATAAATAAAGCGAATCTTGCATCTGGCAACAAGAGCAAAATTGAGAGTGTAAAATCTGTCATTTTAATTGGAATTTTTAAGTCCATTAACTTTTTTATACATTTTTTACATTCTCTATTTAGTTTTTAGACCATATTGGACGTCCAATATTAATTTTAAATTAAACTTTTATTCAATATATTATTTTCGATCATAGTCATCAATTTTCCAACAAGTACAATTCTCTTTGGTCTTGTAAAAATTATTTTATTATCAAATTGAAGTAATGGTTGTAGAAAAATTGCTCTAGAATTAAAAATCATGTGTTTCAGTTATAGAAAATATTTTGTTATAAAATAAATAATAATTTTGCAAACATTTAGATGATAAAATTTTAATTGGAATTCTATCTGTAACTAAAATTTTCCGATGTAATTTCTCTTTTCCTCTCTCTCTCTCTCTCTCTCTCTCTCTCTCTCTCTAATTATTTTTCAATACGTATAATTAGATGCAATATACTACGTGTTCAGAGAGATGTATCTATTAAATATATCTATTTATTATAAAATATATATGACCAACGCGTAATGGCAACGTCAGTTGCTATATAGCTTAGCGATTCAATTGAAAATTTATCCGAGCCGCCTAGTCCACTCGTGAACGGATTACTGATTGTACGTCGAATTTCAGTAGCGGATCGCTCGCAATCTATCGAATTCCACGCGTGCACATCGTTATTAACGTACCGAGCAAGTACGAGCGAGAGCACACACTCGTGGCTGTCAGGCTTCTCTCGAAAAGGAACAGTCGATCGATCGACAACGACGACGTAACGATTATAAGTATAAACTTATCGATACTGAAAAAGAATATTTTTTTAGAATACTCTATGATACTACGAAGAAACAGATCTTTCCTCTCTCTTTCCTTCAATATTAATTTTTTGTGGGTAGAGCAGAATAAAAACAATAAACCAACGATAAGCACTTAATTTTGTTGATATATCTGGATTTGATTTTTAATGTTGAAAGATGTTAGATGATGTTAGATTAATAGAGGTGCAGTCTAGTTTAAGTAAAGAAAATAATAATTGATGATGTACCGTGAAGTAAGTAGAAGTTTAAATTATTATATAACGGGAAAAAATGACGCGCTAGGTTCTACTTCTAATGATAAAAATACGACGTTTTAATAAAGATTAGAAATTAAAAGTTAAAGATTATAAAGATTATTAAAATCAATTATCAAACTTTATTATATGTTTACTTTACATATGATTTTTATATTATTAGATATCCTATTGGAAATCACAGGAGCTTCCATACTTCACAAAAGTGGTGTAAAAAAACTTTTTATTTAATATGGAAGTATCATGGAATAACATGGAACATGAAGAGTCCGCAATGAGATACGTCGCAATGAGATACGCCGCATTGAGATACGTCGCAATAAGATACGCCGCATACATTCGAAATACATTTGGAAGAGTACAACCGCATACATTACGACCATAGAAATATGTATTTTAATGAATGGAGTTTTTGAGAGAATATCGGAGAACATCGTTTTGTGACCGAGTAAGTTGATGATCATTAAATCAATTGCAAATAGTTTAGCTTATTATTATTTGCCTCTTTATTACTCTTTTCAATATCTTCTTAATTCAAATATCTTTCAACATGCATTAATATATTATCTTTAAGTATCTATAAGCAAATTTCTAGAACAAGTCAATTTAATATTTTCGAACAAGATTTGAATCATAAATTTTGTTTGAAATCATAATTAAGTGAATTTGACAAGTGTATCGACAGCACAGAATACTTCGAGCATTTTTCAAAGCTTTCTCTTGAATAAACTTTCACATAGTTGAGATCATTCTTTGTTTAATATATTTGAACATTACAAATGAAGCTTAACAGGGTGACAAGGTGACCTTCATTGACAACGATCTTGGCGCTGAGGATAAGATAAAGGTTTTTCGTTATGAGGGTGAGAGTGACATTGATGAAGAAACTAAGCGCTGACGATCTTAAGAAAGAGAAAGGATATCTCATAGAACTGAGCGCCGAGGAGTTTGAGAAGAAGAAAGAGGATCTCAGGAGGAGATAAAAACTTATTGTACGGAAGATATACTATATGAAACTCCCATTTTCTTTTTCTCTTCAGAAAACAAGAATAATCCCCCTGTGCTAACTAAAGAAGGTTTGCGTTAAATATTAATTTGATAATAAAAAGAAATAATTTGTATAATATGTATAACACGTACAATTCTAGTTATTTATAATTTATCAAATAATGTAATATATATTTTAGGAATAATGTTAATTGCCAATTTGGTAGGCAAGATTAAAAAGAAGAAGAAACACCTTGAAGATAATGATTTATCCTTGCAATATTAAGCCGCCTTCCAGATTCCTGGAGGGCGTAAAGTCTGTCATTTGAAATTGCTCGTTTTCCATTAAGCGTATGCTGGTGAGTTAACATTGTTCCTTCAAATCTGTACATATATATTTATAACATAATTATACCTCTCCTCTCGATTTTATAAGACGAATCGCGCTTCTTTATTTCGCGACAGCGGCTGTCTCGCCTTGTGTGTAATGTTAATGCAAAATGCTTTCTTTATTATTGCGATTCTACGGCTAAATATGTTTTATATTTCACCTTCTGAAAACGTTTATTTCACATCCATCCACACACACGCACACATTTTTATATATTAATTTTAATGAAAAATTAATTTTATATGAAATACAATCTTACAATCAGTCTTATTCAATCTCTATTATTCTTTCTGATATTATTCTTTCTTTCATTTTTGTTTAATCTTTAATTTTCTCTTCTTCTCTCTCGATTTCTTTTATTCTCTCTCAATTTCTTTCATTTTTTCTTTCTCTCAAAATTCATATTATTATATTGAAAATGAGCTGCTAAATAATTAACATGTATTTTTATTAAGTTTTTTTTTGTTCAATTAAGTTTTTTAATCATTAAAATGTGTTGGTAAATTATTTAGAAAGAAAAATAGGTAATTAATAAATTAATTTTTTAAATTGAAACGGAGAAGATGGAACAAAGATACAGATATTATTTTTCACGTTTGAAATATGTGCCCTGAGGAAATTAATTAATGATTAATTTTTTTATTTATGACGAACACACAGCACTCATGATCATGTTATTATATGAGCCATCTATTGGTAAAGCAAATTAATTTTTGTCCAATTAGTAATACTACTGACCAGTAGATGACTCGAGAGCATCATACGTGTTACGTATTATCGCTTGTAACTGCCGTCTGTGTCGCTGCAGTAGTAATATCAGTATTGGATAATATTCTTGGATTGTGAGTAATTTTAGAATATAACAGATGTAAAATTTATCTTTTAATCGTACATAAAAATTGCAGATCTTAATATTAATATCAAATGCATAAAATTTTATATAATTGATGTTATTAGATTTTTGCCACAAAATACGTCTCAATACAGTTGCAGATAACCTATCAGAAATTATTTTGAATAAAACTAATTTTTAATAACATGTAAAATTTTCTTTCTATATGTAGCAAAATTAATTGTTAATATATTCTTTGTTTTTATATAATTATTTTATACTTGGTATTTTTATGTATCTTAATTTGTGTGTATATCAAAGTTCTAATTAGCCATACAACAATATTAGACTTAGATTTTGCATTTGTTACACGTGATTAGTATGAAAAAAACACTCATCTCACTACATAATTTGCTACACAATTATTTGAATACACAATTAAACAAAAGTATATAATATTTGAAATGAATACACTGCTTGGGATATATTATATAAATATATAAATCAATCTAAGCCAATTATGACGCATAAAATTTCTAAAAAAATATATTTAAAAAGTTATTGAAAAAACATCATTTTCTGCAACAGATTTAATGAGGGTATAACTGATAGTAAGAAGAAATTTACCTGTTGTAATTAATCAAGGATACTGGTGTGTGGAAATGGGACCTGGTGAATGATTTAAATTGAACATATTATATATCATTCCTTTAGCAAGTAAATAAAATTAATTATTTTTTACAGGCAGTCAACTTGAACAAAATGAGACAATGCCAAAGGTTGACGTGTTGAGAGATGCAGGAAGACTCAGATCCACAGATGTGGTTTATATGAAACGCCTGGAAGATCAAAACTTGCTTAGAGCAAAAAGAGTACAAGCATATCGTAAAGCTAATAATCGCACTGCTATCGCTTTAGCCCTTGGTGTCATCGGAATTTATACCTACACAATATATTCTGTGAAGCAAGAAAAGTTTTTGGATGATTTTGAAGAGCCAAAAAAAACAATCAATAAGATTGTATGAGATAACTTTGTTTAAAAACGAATAAAAAAAAGTCATAGCTTGTTATGTTAAAAAGGTTAAAGGTTTTATATTTTTGCAAGTTCTTATATCAAGATAGAAAATTTGAAAAGTAATATTTTCTTTTGTGAAGATTATACTCTATAAGTATTTATTTCACAAGTGTGCTTGATTAGTATATAACAAGATTAGTATTTGTAAAAATGTCTGCTCCACGATTGCCACCGTTTCCATCCATACGAGACATATTGAAATTATACAACTTGAACGCCGTAAAACGTTTATCTCAAAACTTCCTTATGGATAAAAATTTGACCGACAAAATCATAAGGAAAACAGGAGATCTCGCTGGGACTCAAGTGCTAGAAGTTGGCCCAGGCCCAGGACCTATAACTCAATCTATCCTGAAACAGATACCGAAACGATTAGTAGTGGTGGAAAAAGATCCCAGATTCAAACCGGTTTTAGACATGCTAGCAGACTCATTCAGCATGGTTAATGGAAAAATGGATATATTATATAACGATATTATGAAAACGGATATGGAAACTTTATTTCCGGCAGAATATAAGAAGGACTGGAATGATAAATCTCCGCACATCTATCTTGTAGGCAATTTACCGTTCAGTGTATCGACACCTTTGATTATTAAGTGGCTGCATGCGATAGCCGAACATCGAGGACCTTGGGCGTTTGGTAGAACAAAAATGACGTTAACATTTCAAAAAGAAGTAGCAGAACGTCTGGTGGCTAAACCGTCAGAAGACCAACGATGCAGGTTATCGATAATGGCACAGGCGTGGACGTTTCCAGTACTTCGTTTTATCATACCTGGTAATTGAACCTGGCTCATGTTACTTTGTAATTATAAATTTGTTATAGAAATGTTTATTCATATTCCAATGTATAATTTGCAGGCAAAGCTTTTGTTCCAAAACCGGACGTTGACGTGGGAGTAGTGTCGTTTGTGCCATTGGTCAAGCCGCGTACGCAACACGATTTTAAACTGTTTGAAAAAATAACAAGACACTTGTTTAGTTTTAGACAAAAATACAGCATACGATGTATCGAGTAAGTGCGTTTGGTTTCTTAAATTATATATTATAATATTTATAAATTAATGTTTTATCTCTTATTTCTTACAGGACTCTATTCCCATTATATTGTCGTAAAGAATTAGGTCTGATGATGTATAAATTATCTGACTTGGATCCAACTATGAGGCCTACCCAATTCACCGTCGAAGATGTTGACAGGTTGACGACCGCTTATAAATATCTGACAGAGAAACATCCGGAGATCAATTTGTATAATTATCGTTCGTCTCGACATTTGTTACCGTTATCAAACACAACAGACGTTGTGATTCAAGAATGTACAGAATTAGATTTATTAAAAGAAACGAGTATCTAATATCTTGGGCTGATTTATAGTCAGTAATACGCAAACGCGTCATATTTTACTTTTATTAAATCGCAGGTTTGTAATGCAGCAGATTAATTCGTTACAATGAATTTCGGTTAGAACTGTGTGTGAGGATTTGTAAATATACAAATTATATATATATACACAATATGGCTTAGTTCTTAAATAAAAATCTAGTACAAATGTACAATTTGCATACTTTCTGTGTTAAACATAATGTAAATACTGTTAATCATTTTGAAGGAGAACAGAATTGTAGAAGCGAGAAAAAATATGTTCCTAATTTATACGCATTTTGAATGCTCGCTGATTGCGCGAGGCATATACGGCACCCTGTATCCTCGATGTTGCTGATTCACGCAAATTCCTCGATACTTCTGTTGGTCTGCGAACATCCTATGACCTCAGATCTAATAATAAATCTATTCTGCAACCGGTAAAAAGTAAATCGCAGATGAAAAGTAAGACGGACAAATATCTTAACAACGTCGTAAGTAATTTGCGCAAAGAAAACCCAATACACCGGTCGATATCACAGCTACTCGTCGTTGTTTTTTTTTTTCTGAAAGATATAGATATTAAATAAACTTATGCGTACGCGCACAAACATGTATTATATATTATATATGCATACTTAAAATTATTCATTAGGAATCGATATTAGTATGCGCGACTCGACGCCACGTGACATTCCGATTACAGAGACGTAGGAAACGAAGTTTCTGCTACGTACTGTAACAACCGAACACAGGCAGTTATACCTTGAATTCAGTAAGAACTAGACTTTTGCGCTACTCGTCGACAGTCGCGTACGATGAGCCGAGGAATACCTTTGGTCCAGCGTTCTCTCTCCCCAATAAATCATTATTAATTCATCTGTGGAGATCATGAAGACGAATTTAATCGCTCAGGATTCTTCGCGTCATTGAAAATACCCTATTTTCAGCGTCGGTTAAAAGCGTGTTACATTATGCACACGCTTGTTATGTTTAAGCTCTTGTTAATTTCTCGTTACGCCGCAAATCATGATGTTAGGAAGGGCCCCTCGACGTTTACGCCAAGCACCGAGGGACTGTGCGTGGGCCTGCAACGTTCTGCACCACCTTTTCGTTCTCGCGCCGTCCTCTGCCTGCAATAAATCAATTTATCGTTCATTTTTAACCATCTCATCGATAATTAATCTGTTTACTGATAGAGATCCGCTATTTCGATTTAAAAGAAATGATTAATGTGCACAGATCTTACTTTAAATATAAATGTTTCCTTGGAAGACAGCTCTTGTATCTCGAAATAATCTTCGAGATCCGTTTCACAGCACACTATGCACTTGTCGAGATACAGTGGCTCCTGAAATAATAATAATAGTAAATACAAATTTGCATGAGCAATATTATTGAACGGCGATGAAAGAATTATAATGTGGAACATAAGACTTACTCGTAACAACGAGTAACGTCCAAGTTTCTCTTTGACCAAAAGTAGGGTAGCTTCCTTAATTCCTATGTGCTTCGGAAATAGCGAGTCGTCATTGAATTCAGGATAATCAGCATTTGGCTGAAAACAGAAGTTTTATTTGTGCATGTAATCTGTTTCATTGCGCAAAGAATTTCTTCGCTAAATATGTTAAAAAGGATTAGTTGCGTGTTTACCTTGCCGTTTGTGACAAGCATGGCAGTGACAGGTGCGAGTTTAACCGTTCGACCGCGTCTCCAATTATTATCAGTCGGCTGCGCCACTAGAAGACGCCCTTCAAACACAAATCTAGCTTCTTCGTGTGCCCATTCCAAGATCTCGACCGCCATCTAAATCAATAAATTTTACGATAATAATAGCGAATCGTTATCAATATCGTTAATTGCATTTTAGGATAAGACGTAAAGTGAAATAACTTAATTATGTTAAACGAGCTTACCTTTCTCAGTTTAATATTCACCATATCCTGCTCACCGATAGACCGCCTACCGTTCTGGATAATCGAGATTCTCCTCCATAATTTCGTTGATGTAACATCCTTTGCCTCCTATTAATAAAACATATAACATTTATTTTCGTGATTTTCGTGAACGGTTTTGCATTATAATTACACTTACAGCATTCATATGTTCCAAGTGTAATTCGATGTTCGTTTGAGCTTGCTTGAGCCTCTTTTTCGCTTCTTGAATGTCAGGTCGAACAGAAGGTGTTGCTTTAAGTAAACGCGCCAGCAAAAGAGGGTATTTCGTAACTCTTTGGACAGGAACCTAAAAAGAATAATTATAAATAAAATTTTGTAAAATTTAGAAAATTAAGAAAGGTAAGTTGAGGGTAGTGATGTTACCATTAGAAAGGAGTTCAGGTTCATCCTTCGCAAAACTGTGTTCTCCATTTGAGACACTCTGAGGAAGATGCGAAGAAGCTCCTTTTCCTTCTCCAAATTTTGCAATAATAAACTAGCGCTGCCTTGGCGCGTGCAGTAGCTCTCGAAAGCGTGAAGCATCCTTTCCGATTCGAGGAAGATTTTTCCCACGTCTACCGTCAAGAGGTCCTCGTCTCCAGATTCCTATCGCAGAAACCAATAGCGTAAGCTTTTGGAAATATATATTTGCAATGAAAAATTGAAATAAATATTCTGCGCGCAATTTCGTACCTGCGCGAGTTCGACGCTATCCTTCAGTTTCTCGGCTAAAACGAGATTGTGTTCGAGCAGCTCCTCGACGTTCAGAAAGATCGCCGATAGTTGTTCCGACGTGAGGAGACCCGCTTTTAGCATCGGCCGGTGGAACTCCTCGAGTATGATCTGCAGATCTCTGCCGTACTTCTGTTCGGTTTCCACGATTTCCGTAATAATCTCTTTCCGCTCGGCGCGCTTCTTCGAGCACTTTCTGCATACAAAAGGTGCGTATACGACGCCGCTGGAAAAAGTAAAACAGAAATTGTTAAAGAAATATAATGATTTACGAGAAAAAAATGTTTACAACCTATAATATTTGGAATGTTTTATACGAAGAAATTTTATCGCATGAAAGTAGATGCATTACTGCGATTGAAATCTTATATTTTAAAGAAAAATGGTCCATAATGTTAAAATGTACATTTTATTTATAACATTTGTTAAGTTAGAACTTTAGAATGTACATTTTCTTTATTGGTATGTATTGAAATCTTATATTAAACAAACAAAAATGGTTTAGAATTCTGAAATATAAGATTTCAATGCATCGCAGTAAAGTTCTAGGCCTGTCAAATGTTACGACATAAGATTCTAAGGCATAAAAATAAATGATAAATGTACATTTTAATATTCGAAAGGATTTCTAAGTTTAAAATATAAGATTTTAATGCAAAGCAATAAAAAACTCAATATAAATTTAAAAAATCTATAAATTGTCTATCTATTCGCGATATTATCGAGATAATGTGCTTTTTTTAAGAGAGAATAATCTATGATCGCAAATGAAAGTGACTGTCGTAACTTGCCAGATGCATATTGCATTATCCATTCATCAAACGTCAACTGCGTTCTTCGATAACGACACTTTCGCTCTCGGGCAAAATAAAATCGATAGCAAGAGAAAGTGGCCCACTGTCTCTTGCATCGCACTTGTCGCGTAATTCTAAGGTGCAAATGCATCGACAGCTTGCGTCAATTTATTCTCTAAATACAACACAATATAAAAAAAAATATAACTAACCAAAGAATTTCTTTTTTAAGAAACACGTTAATCCAGAAAAAGGCATTCTTTTTGATTATTTAATTAATTAGAAATTGATTGCTTAGCATTTGTCAATTGAAAATGTCTTTACTTTTTTTACTTTTGTCTCATAGATTGCATAGATGACGGGAAGATTCCGAATCCTCGCGGAAAAATCGCAACCGTGACAAAACGACATTTGTTCCTCGATTCGCGAGATTACTCCTGAGTATCCGGTAAGCAATGCAGCATTTTCCTCGTGAATTTACGGTTTGAAGGCAAATCGAGTGAATCTCGCGCGGAACTCGCAGTAAACCAAATCTCTCACGGTCGAAACTCGGCCGCTGTCGTGAAAGACACGCTCCAGCAAGGATTCTGGACCGTTATATCCTCTCTCCGGATCATCGAGCGCTATCTGTGAATCCGGCCAGAGGTGATAACAGTGCACAATTTAGGACGCCGGAGCATATTAAAAACGAGTTTCAAGAAACGAACGTTTGCGTTTCTTTTACGTTCAGCGACTCGAACGGGACAGGAAGCTATAAAACTAAACTGCTGTTTATTCCATCAAGATATCGCTCATCAATGTATCATACGTTAAATAATGTAGTATCACGCGGAAGAGATTAGCGAAACCGTTAATCACACATGACCGTCTTCACGCGCGTATGCATTTCTCTAAAAATCGTTTTAATAATATGTGTTATATAAATTTCAGAAAACATTTAGAATCGACAGATTATCTTCGAGATAATGATTTTTAAGTGGACTGCTCAATTATAGCAGTAACATTTATTTGATTATAAATATTCACTCGACTCGTTTTCGAAAGTTATAAATCGATGAAGAAAAAAATCATTTCATGTTTCAATCTCGGCCAAAATAATTATGCAAATCAAGGAATTAATGCTTGATTGATAATCGAAACACGATCATTAAGATATATTTCGCCATAAATCGCAACGTCGAATATTAAACATATTGAAACAATAACATAAATAAATTAAACTTTTACAACATACCTGTCCGTTATCAGAGGATCCAGTCGCTGCTCGCAATCCTCGCACAGCTTCGTGGCGCCGGAAATTACTTGCGGTATCCCGCCGAGAAGGCTTCCCGGACCGGAGGAAACATTGCCCGTCCTCCAGCGTCTCGTAACACCGCGCGTGCTGCTGGCTTGGCTACTCTCGGATCCGACGCCGCTGTCGGTTCTCTCAATGTCGACCGTTCTCGACTGCAAAAACGAATGAAAAATTCCGATTATAATCTCATATACATTAATTAACGTACATCACTTCCAAAAAATCAGGAAAAAATTTGTAATTTTACATGTCGATCGATAGCGCCAACTCACCTTCAACGCTTCCGGCGAGCTCGTCAGGATGATGTTGCACTCCTCGCTGCTGTCGGACACATTGGAGATCTGTGAGCTCTTGGAGCTGAGATCGCCCAGACTGGTCTCCTTCTGCTCGTACAGAGCCTCCAGGTCTCCCTCGGCGTCGTCCTCCTCGTCGTCGTCCTCGTCCTCGTCCTCGTCCGCGGGCCGTGTGCGGTCCTTGGAATCCATCAGGAAATTCAACAGCTCGAACTTGGTGGAGATGTTGTGCTCGTCCTCGGGTGACGTCGACATCTTCTTGAAGAAATCTTCGGGGCTCTTGGACAAGTAAGTCTCGGCCAGATCCGCCGAGTTGGATTTCTTGAAAACTTCCTCGGATAAGTAAGGACCGAGAAACTGGCCCGGCGTGATCTTCTTGTAGTATCTTTCAACGTCGCCGAAGTAGATCCTGTCTTTGAGGTAGTCCTCCGTGGGTGGCGGGCTCAGCGGCAAGGGCGGCGGCTCGTCCGGTATCTCCTCGTAGATCGGCTCCTTGATCACTTCGTAAGGATTCTCCTCGAGAAAAAGATTCGTCGAGATGAAATCGCCGTCCGAATTCAGGCTGGACGATCGCGAGTAATTCGCCTCGAGAGTCGATTCGGAGCTCTCGTACTCCTTGCTCTTCAGCAAGCTCTGCTTCAAGATCTTTAGGATCGCCTGGCCGCTGTCCTCGTCGAGGATCTCGCCGTTTTCGCGAGCCTTCCGCAACGAGTCCTCCAGCAGCTTCGAGATCAAAGCTTCCTTCGACAAGTCGGACAATTTGGGAGAAGCTTCGACATCCTTGAAGCGCGTTTTCGACTCTGGTCGCGCCGTCTTCTCGTCGGATATGCAAAATCTCGACGATTGATTGGTATTGGAAGACTTGATCTCGACGCTCAATTTCTTTCCGAAATTCGCCGCCGGCTGTTCCGCGCGTTGACACGGCGAGGATGTTTCTTCGCTGGGCGAAGTGGGCGCCTCGTCGCTCGTTTTCGAGTTCGTCTCGCAATCTTTGACACGATTATCCTTCCCGGTTTGCTTGGCGCGCGAATCATCGTTCGCGGACTCAACCACGATGTTCGATTTGTAGTTCTCGAGTATCACTAGAGTGCGATTCTCCGCAGAATTCTGGATCTTCGGCGTGTTCTCCGAATTCACGGAGATCACCGTCGGATTGCACACACTGTCCTCTCCGCCTACGCTGATGGTCACTTTATTGCCGGCCGTCGATTCCGCATTGGTGCTCTGATCGCCATTGATCAGAATGGACGTCCTTCTGGCGCCTCTTAGACCGGAATCCGGACCGATCTGCAGCCGATGGACCAACGGCGACGAGCGCGGGCTCACGGTGATTTTGCAGACGTTGTTCTCAGGCGAATTGATTTCGATCTTGGAGGAGCCGTAAGAACTCGTCGAGTTCCACGATGCCGTTGACGCCGACGATATCGTTCTCCGATGATCTCTGATCGAGTTGACCGGGCTCTCGTCCAGATCCGTGTTGCTGGAATCACTAATTTTGAAGCGATGCCTCTGCCTGCCGGGTGGCGGCGACCAACTCGTAGGTTTCATTGTACGGAAATGCTCGCTGCTCATGTCAGAAATATCGCTGCGCGCGTCCGGCGGTGGCTCGGCTTCTTTCTCGACATTCTCGGCAGTGTTCTCGGGGATCTCCTGAACGTTTTTGCTCATCTCGTCCTCGCGATCGGGCTCTTTAAGCTCGCCGGAGACGTCCGTTTCTTCCTCGATTTTCTCCGTCCCGCGTTTTCTTCCCGGTAGATTTGCCTCGTCGCCGTCTTCCCGCGAAATTGCGCACGTGGCCGTATTGATAGACGATGACAGCGGTGATTCCTTGATCTTCTTGTTCAGACTGAGACGCATTGTGTCCAAGAACAGCACGCTGCCAGCCGAGATTTCCGGTCTGCTGAACGACCGATCGCTTTGGCTCCGTGTCAGTAAGGATTTTCTCGAGCTCTCTGCGTTCGAAGAGAAATTAAACGGCTGAGATAAGTAATCGAAACGACGGCAATTTAGATGTGCAGAATATTAACTTCATAATGCATAGCTATTTCTCCCATATTTATTTTAATAATTATATTTTTAACGATTATTTGATAGCCAAATTTGTATCAAGAGACGTATTTATGTATAATCTGATGTAAAGTAGAAAAATCAGAAAAATATAAAAGTAGGATGTTTCGTCGCGAGTTGAAAGTATCTTAATTGTATAATTACGCGAGTTAAAAAAATCAAATCAGTCGTGGAGATCTTAGGGACTTTTAGTGGACACATAACGGATTGCCTTAGGATTTATTTATAAAGTTCTACGAAACCAAACCAGCGCATCGCGTCTACAACAATAATCTTGCGGAAAGAGTTGCTGCGAGCAGCTGGAGCGCACACAATCCGTATAATTTAATTTTACGAGCAAACACTCGGTAACTTGCACTTTTATTGCTGACAGACGGATACACGCATTTCTTTCTTTCGCAAAGCGAGAATTTCCGTTTATTTTGCAGATCTGGGAATATCCGCATCATTCAAAACACCGGAAAGAAAACCGCAAATGTGAAGCGTGAAGCTGGAATCGGATACCCGTGAAAATTACGCCTGGTTATTTGATGCCAAAATTTAACCGGATGCGCATCTGTGAAAGTTGATGTGCATTCTTAGCAGATATATATCGCTTCATAGTAATGTATAATTGCATTCGCACAAGAGGTGAATTTAATTTGTTCTTTTTAATAATATAATCGTATTACGTCATGATAAAAGTGAAAAATTTTAATGAAGCTTAATCATGTCGAATAAACTGTGTTGTCTTCTAGCATATATTTATTTCGGATTTAAAATTGCAAAACACGCGTACCGAGTTTCTATTATTATTCGTTTCCTTGAAACATTTTACTTGCAAATATGGACTCTCCTTTATACTCTTCCTTTCTTCCTTCATAATTTTGAATTTAGTCGAGTACGCATTACTGAGAAAGATAGATTTGCTTAAGAGCTACTCAAGAAAGATAGATTTGCTTATTAAATAGCATTCAAGATATTTTTTTAAATTCCTTTACACTTTACTTTAGGATTTATTCATTTATTCTCAACGCAAAATTAATATAAACTTATTATCGGGGTTCGTTTCTTCGATCTCCACCTCGATATGCAGCGTCTCTCACGATCGATGAAAGTGCACGAATCTTTGATGGCTCGCGAGCTCAGAATTTCTCGCCGCGAGAAAACTCGACGGTTTTTTCATAGCTGCTCTACTTTGCGCGGCCGCCAGGAATTTCTGAGACGCGCGCGATTACTTGGCCGCAAAAGCGATTGCGTAAATTGCCGACGCCTCGTTTGTGACTTTATGACTTGGATCAACCTCATGCACGAAGAAGAAAAGATGAGCTGTGTGAGGTTTTGCGAAACTTAACATTGGGCCGCGGTAGCTGATGAGATTTCTTTGTGCGAATGCAACTATACCGACCATTAGTTACCATGACATCCTAGATTTGACATTAGCACTGTTGCAGACACAAATCTTTTGCAATTGTAAAAAAATAAACGCTTTATTCTATTTTTTACATAATAAAATTATTCAAATACAAATAATCATGCAATTTTAATATTTCGATTAAAATGGAGACTTAAAATTAATTAATTTAAAATCAGAGATTAATATTTAATTTCTCTAATAAAAAATGAAATTTTGAGCAATGAGACAACAAAAGATCCAGAACTATCAAACGGAGAGCGAATGATGCTTTGAGTTTGAAAGAGAACATCGCTTTTACAATAAAGATTCTAGACAACGAGTCGCTCTTTCTAAGACCAAAGAAAGAAAAGCACGAGAATGACGCGCGATGAACGATGAGATTTCTCGTTCGCGCGAGAATTTATGCCACCGCGTGCAAAACGAGCGAAGAAGACCGCTGACGATGCACGGGCCGTGAATCGCTGTGTGAAAAAAAAAGGGTTATCGAGCCGCGCTGCTCTGCCACCGGTGTGAAAGAGTGAAAACGTGGGAGATCTCTAAAAAGCATAATTACACTGCTCTGGACCATGCGCGTTGATCAAGGGAACGACCCGATGATTTATGAGACTAGTGGGTAAACATCGACGGTGCGAAAAAGCCAAGGTTCCCAACGACAGTGCTCGATCAGGTGCGTCTATAATATTATACAGGTGCAGCACGTGGCGCGGTGAACGCACGAATAATTTATCCTTTGAAAATCCTCTATTTTCACTCACCGCAAAATGTGTGCGAAATGTTCATACATCTTTTTCATTTGTTTTTATTGTTTGCTATTGCGCTATATTATACGGAAGCTAACACGTGTTCAGCTAACACTTTCGATTTATTCTATTTTAATACTTTTTTGATGAATGGTAGAATTGTATGTATTCAATATTAGTTGGAAATTGTCATTTAACACAATAAAATTTGAATTTCCATAGATTCATAGCGCGATCCGAAATCACGCAATATATACGCTCTAATTTAATTATGAGAAGATTGGCTGCGCTTATTAATTTTCAAAGTGGAAAGAGCGTAGCGAAAGCAATCCCGCACTCGTGTAAATCATCGAGTTATTACATTATACCTGAATTATCGTACGCGCAATATAGAACGCGAAATTGACGAAAATAATCCGCGATATGCATCGCGCGTGTACATAAGGATTGTTCGCCGGTCGCGCAGGGAGGAGAAACGAGTGTAAAAAGATTCGCGCTTGGGAAAAGAAATCAGCGTTTAGATTTTATAATTCGTACGCGTTGGACTCGCTCGTGCCTAAGCTTAGAAAGTAGATTGCCAGGGAGGAGCTAATTAAAACGCCATGAAGGAAGAATAGAGACAGACATAGAAAACAATGAATGGAGAGATATCGTCTTTAGAATCATTAAAAGTGCTGCAGGTGCTGCGACGAATATATGAACATTAAATGCAAATGCTTTCTGATATTAATGAATGTCAACGGGATAAAATCTTTTTATTGTATAAAATTAAAAAAAATAATATATATATATATATAGAGTTGACATTCATAATATTTTTTAAATTTTAATTACATGTCAAATTTATATGTGATATTTATTAATTGATAAAAATACAAAAATTTGAAGTCAATAATTAATTATTATTTTCAAAACAGTTGTACTTAATAGTTTTTTTCTTGAGATTAATGGTTGGTATTGTATTCAAACATGCGCACGATAAACAACAAGGCGGATGCAACAAACGTGTGAAAAAAAGAGAAAACCTCGGTGCGTCTTTTATAAAGCATTTCGTCGTCGTGTCGCTCGTACACGGTTATCTAAACGCCTCTGTGGTCATGCAGTGCATTTACACCGGAAATACGATCACCGGAAGTCATCCCAAGCGATTTGTTTTATTTTCCACACATGCGCATTTTGCGACGGGCACAAAGATTCACGGACACATTTCGCGCGCAATCACCGCGATTATAAAACAGAACAATTTTATAAATTTTCTAATTAAAAACTTAACTTTTTGCACAATTTTTACTGTACAAATTTTTTGTACGACAGAGATTTAATTTTCCGAAGATACTCATAAATTATTATAGACGGTATTACGACTAGAAAATATATTTAATTAAAATCGAAACCGTTGGTACAACGGAACTTCAGTCGCGCTCTCCGTAGATGCACGAATGATTCTCAACGTCCCCAAGAAACTGACAGCTTGATGCGAACTTTACAGCCGTGCTCGATTATTGAAGCATAACAGCTGAGCTACATGTTAACTCGTCTCGATCGTTCAATCTATCGCGAGCAAATATATCAATCCCTGAAAAGTGCATCGACACGATCATCACAATATAACCACTATGTAACTACTTGCTGCGCCAGAACATCCAGTACATTGCTACTATAATAGTATTGAACTGTTACTTGCATTGAATGCGACGTATGATCGACGGAGGTCGCGCATAGAATATCTATTAATCGCAATGGTAATTAACATAGTGTATGCAAAGAGAAGCAGTACGGCGGTCGTTAACACACGTGCGCACGTTCTATTAATAGGATAAATTCGCGTAACTCCCACTTTTTTTTTTCCAGTCACAACCGGTACTCAAACGAGCCGCGTACAAATCGATCGGTGCGGCGCATTTCAGCAACTCCGATGTTGCGGCCAATCATCCAAATTAATTCGCACGACTTTCCCGTCACGTCTTATCTCGCGTTCGCATGCAGACTCAATTTGCGACGCGAGCCGCTCTACATTCTTGAATCTGCTCGTCATATCGCAATGTCGGATCCGATTTCGCGTTTTTTCTTTTTTTCAAGAGAGATTTAATTCGACGATAGCAACGGTAGAAAAGGAGACCCACAATTTTTGAGGTTTTAAGAGCACAGACGTAAAAATATAAAATAAAGTAAAGTAGATAACAAAATTGTAACATTTTAAGTCGATTTTTCAATTTTCAAACAAATATGTTAAAAAAATGATAAAGATGGAATAAAATTTGCTATAATTTTTTAATCATCTTCCCCACATTTGAATACAACAGTGTAAATTTTTATATTTGCCCCATTGAATGCAAGAATGCAATGAAAAATTGCAGAGATTGTGTTCAATGTGATCGTGAGAATAGCACCTATCTCGAAACAGCGAGAAACATTGCCGACGGAAATTATTTTACATTCAATTTAAAGCAACTGGACTTTCACGGAATTACGTTTTCCATAGTGGAACTAGCTTCCGCGACATCGGGATTGTTCGCAATATCGCGATAATAATGCCCGCGAACTAGTACTGCGTGATGCACTTTATTGTTGAAAACACGTGCGAGCCCGCTCGCCGTGATTGGCAAGATCGTTTTTGCGCCGGTCGTATAACTGAACAATACACCGGTCTTTCCAAAAAGAGACGGGACCGACTCGGTTGCGTCCCGTCACTGCGGAATTAGTATGTAACGATTTCTCCTCCTTCTCTCCGGCGAAGCGCTTGCGATACTCCGGCGGGCCGCCACCGGGCGAACTGATAAATATGTACACGTCGTTCCGTATAAGGCGGACGACCGCCGCTCGCATTGTCCCCCGATCGTTTCGTATCTTTCCCACGCGCCCACTTTCGCAACCTCTCTCTCTCTCTTTCCTCGCGAATACTTGGAAAACGCGAGTCCGCGGTATGATAATGTCGCTGGAAAGTATCGTTTCGACTTCGCGAGATAAATACACAATATATTAAAAATTTGCGTAATTCATTACAATTAAAAAAAAAAGAAAAAAAAACATTCTATGAATATTATAAATATTTAACTCACAGTCTCTTTATTGGAATGCTAAGAAGGTGGACGATAGTTTTAGTATCGCCCTGTACATTTCTTGTAGGAAAAAAACGTGGATTTTAATCGATTGCCACCTGTTGCAAAAACGATTGAAAAGAAGCCAGCATAATTTTTTTTTACGATCGACTAATAAATTTCCAATGACGCTATAACTCTTAAAGAAGATATTCTTTTGTGCGCATTCTATATATCTTAATGCGTATAGCATTTTTTGTTTATTATATGTGCGTAGCTATAGCTCTAAAACATATCCTTAGGATAAGTAGCTAGAATGATATGTCAGCTTGACGCTAGTTAGATTCTGACCTTCAGCAATTTCGAATGCTGCGGCCGCAATTTACGAAGCTCTTTTAGGCGACTTTTTTAAAAGCCAGCCAAGCAGCATAAGGATATGGCTCAAGGTCGTCAGGAGGGATAACCTTTCTCCTCTTGCCAACGACAAAACCATCTTAAGGTTACCCGAGTTTACAACCGCACCTAACTAGCATTTACATTTACATTTACATTTAGCATTAAATTGCTTTCGTATTAATTTGTGTGCGCCAAACATTTACGTGTGGTACAAGCATGCATTTACGCGAGAGAAAAAAAAGATTCTGTTCGTTATATGTTTTTCACATTTTCGATACATCTTCATATTTTTCGGATGGTGTTTTCCCAAAATAAATCTTAATATTGTCAAGATACGAGTAAAAATCGTACATGGAAATCATCAATTTTCAAAATCCTTGGAAACAAAACTGTACCGTTACGAGAGACAGGAGCAAGCGTAAGCTGTTATCCTTGAATGCGAAACTTTTTTTCGAAAGTTCAAGGATAACGACTTAAGTCCGATAAGTCGCGCCAACCTCAACGGCTCATTAATCACATGCATTAGCATAATGAAAAAAAAAAAGGATTGTAACCGATGATAACCGATAAACATTGATGAACTGATGCGAGATTATCAATTTGCGATAAACGGTGATTCCTGCTCGTAATACGGCCATGCTATATCTTTAGACCCATTTCCACGTGCAAGATTAATCCCTAGACGACTGTAAACGCGCTGTCCTAAGGGCGAACTAGCCTTCAGTGTCGTGAACGGATCGATTATAGTTATGTAGATGAATTGATGAAGGGACCGTAGATAAATTGATCATTAATTTGCTTCTATATAATAATAATCCAGCTTTAAAATACAGAGTTACGTTATTATGAAAATTTGATACTGCTATTTTCAGAAATAAATTACATGTTCGGAAATATCAACGTGAAATAGCTAATATCGCTTTGCGTATTATACATAATTAAAAGTATGTAAAAATAAAAGATCGACATATAACACAATAAAACAAAAATTCCAAGAAATAAAATATCAAACGCGGCAAGAGTTGAACTTTTCTATATTCTCTTTCTCAAGAAAATTATTTCGATCAAATATTTAATATTATATGTGTAAAAAGGTGATTCGAATATTTTTACTGATGGTTTTGCCATCTAAATTAAAAATATTTTTTCGCTCTTCGGTGATCACGCAGAATCTAACGGTGTTTTTTTTTTTTTAAACTTAATGCAACGTAGAAAAACTAATTTATATAAATATGTGAAGCAATGGAATTGCATTAAAAACAATCTGTTAGCTATCTCGAAATTAACTAACAATAATTTTAAATACGCGTAGTTGTAATTCTGGAATGCCTTACCTTCGGATTTCAAGATTAGATCCTTCTCGTCCACGGCGATGCACGGCAAACGGTCCTTCAGCTCCTCGATCTCGATTTCCAGCTCGGTCTCGTCTTCTGGCCGAATAGTCTTCCCGTTCGACAATCTCCTCTCTTCCAGTAATATCCTCTTCTCTGCGTGGACGTTAATTTTCGAAGAGGGCAGCGAGGGCTGCGGCTCACCGCCGATCTCATCTTGTCTCTTGAACACGACGGGACGATCGAGCTTTCTGGATGGAACGAACTTATCTATCTTGATCCTGTCGAGACCGGGCGGCGCCGTTTTCTTCACTTCCGGCACTATTCTCGGTTCCTTCAGCCTGACCTTATCCACCTTCGGATCCCTGATGTTCGGAATCGTGATGAAGTTGTGCTTCTCCTGCTGCTCTTGCGGCACGATCGGCGCTTCCTCCTCCTCGAGTTCGGGACTGCTGTCCCGTTGCTCCTTGCCGCAATCGACGAGCCTGCCGAGCCTGCTCCACGACAGTCGCGTCGCTTCGGACGGCTTCTCGGGCGCAAATATCATGTTGTCAACGTTGAAAAGCACGTTCTTTCTTTTGCTCTCGATTATGCGGCCGCGCTTCAGAATGCTCTTCAACGTCTGTCGGGCTTCCTTCAGCCGCCTCGGCGGTCTCTTGGGTGACACCTTCGGTATCGGAATTCTCGTGATCGGTGGTGACACGTCGTCCTCATCGTCCTCGTCGTCATCCGAGATCTCTCTAGGTCCTTCGTTAAACACCCTGATTCGCTGACCGCCGATCGCCGCCACGGCACTCCTGTTCGGTATCCTCTCGATCGATTTTACCTTTGACGAATCGAACAGGCTGGACGACAGCGTCGTTCTGAGATCGTCTTGCTCCAACGCATTGTCCGACAAATCGTCGCTCAGGTCGTCCTCGTCCTTTTGCTTCTTCAGCAACAGATACGGATTCACGTTGCACTCGAGGATGCTCCTTCGCGGATCCGCAGCGACCGGCGACGTCGTTCCGTCCTTCCAATCGTCCTGGCTGGATCTCCTTTGATTCGTTTCCCTCGGCGGCTTCTTTGGAACGCGAGCAAGCCTCGCAGACGTCGTCGCGGCGAAATGAGTCCGCGAATGACTTTCCGAATGACTCTCTTCTAGCATCCAATCATCCGGAGACACGCCGTTGCCGGTGAAACCAGGTCGCGATATGCGATCGTCGTAGCTCGCAGCCACACTCGGCTCCTTATCGAACCATTCGGATCTCGACGACGCTCCCTCGATCGAGCCCTTACGCTCCTTCGCGACGGTCCGCGCGGTCACACTCTGACTCCTGGAATCTCGCTGTGTCGATGACCGATGCGGCGAGATGCTGCGCGCCCGTGATCTCGGCTCCACCAGCCGGTTTCGTCGCATCTGATCGTACGGATCGTCGATTGATGCTCTTAGCACACCTGACAAATAAGATTAACCGCTGTAAACAAATTGCCTTGCTCTTCTTTCAACTCGATTTATTGCGTAGATTTAAATCTCCAGATAAAACGCGAAAATAAATGTTTTCAAGAAATTTTATCAATTTTAATTTACACGTGATTGTTAAATATAAATTTTAATTTAATTCATTTAACTTTAATTTAATTTAATAAATTGTCAAATAATTCGAAAAGCGACGTTTAAGATCTATTTAGTCTAATTTAAAGTTTGAGCGTCCTTAATCTTTTGATAATTTATATGTAGTTGCAGAAATTTTTTAAATTTCTACGTATAAATTATTATTTCTACTTTCCACTAAATATTAATAAAAGAAAGTAATGTCAGTAAGCAGATAATAAATTCACGTTCACATTTCGCATCAATAATATCTTAATGATAATAGATGAAGCAATGCCGAACAATTCAATTGCAATTACGAACTTATCTGAATGTAAAATATGAATTGTCTTAATCAGAATATCGCTACCCTACATTTCCAATGATTCGCGAAATATCGTGCACAAGCGCTTAGGCAAACAAAAAGTCACGATCTAATCTGAAACGATTTAAATGCAAACTAAACTAGGCACGAGAGGCATCATCGCGAGGTAAAATTCAGCTATCTAGCCCGCGGCTGAGAACTTTCTGCGCTCCGCCGCACGCACGCTATCTCGAACGCGAACGAGGAGAAAATCTCTAATACGAAACGCGCGCAATTAGAGCATGAACATCATCGACAGCACGATAAACCAAAAGTTTTTCTCACACTTTGCCCTAACGAATTCGAAACCGACATTCTTATCTTATGCGACGACAAAAAATGCCATTTCAAGATACAGATACAATTTTTACTAATTTCTGTTGGAGTGATATAACATGAGAAGGCCATCCCTTTTATCATAACAGCTCATAACCTTTGAGATGGTACAAACAAGTAGAAACATGCAAGGATGAAAAAAGTACTGATAAGATCATAATTTTAAAAAATGCAAATTTGGTAAGAAAATAAAATAGGTAAAGACGAAAAAGTACTGGAAGTAGCATCCGTAAAATATTAAAAAATACAGAATAATAAATAAGATAAAGGAAAATGTAAAGGATAAAATTTACGTACCGGCGAGGCTGGGCCTGGACCTCGAGGATGGTGGCAGTCGACACGTACCTCCCAAGGGCAGTCCGGTAACTCGGTGACCGCCGCACTTGCGGCAGCTACCGAGCTTCCTGACGGTGCCAGCAAGAAATTCCGGGCAGGAACATACCACGAGAAGCGGCGTCGCGCCCGACAGCAGCGGTGGCGGCGTCAGGAAGGGTCGCGCCTGATCGTATGCGGTCGTCCGCGACGATCTGACCGTGCCGTATAACCACGGATCGCCGCTGTAGATCATCTGGCGAGAGAGCATGCTACCGCCGCTTATCGTGCCCCAACCGCCCCTGCCGGGGTCATCCCCAGGATTCTGGTGCTGCCGCGACAGACCCAGTCGCACGCTCCACGACTTCTTGCCTTTGCTTAAGGTATCGTAGCTCTGTAATCAGTTTAAAAAAAAATAATTTAGAATACGTAGGAATAATAAATAACATAGAGAAGGAAGATATTTATCATATTAAAAATATTATATTTATCACAATTTATAGAAACGTCAATTTTAATTAAATTATTATCATATGCGAGAATTACATCCTTTTCTATTTTTCCTTCTTTCTTTGTCAATTATTAATTAATTTTGCAATAAACAGAAAGAAGAGATATAATTATTTCTTATATTCGTAATCACAATCAATTATGATTCTAAGATTTAATTTTGATTACAATTGAATGGTAGTTGTTAAATTTATATAAAAAATGTATGCATTTTTGCATAATCGCCAATCTTGCGTAATTTTTTATCACAAATACAGAATATAATCTACATTCATTTTTTCTATATATATATATATATATATATATATTAT